GGCTCGCTTCGCTCCGACTCCACGCGGCCATTGCTCTTGTAGATAGATCCTGAGGTGAGCGTCGTGATGAATCCAACGTCCAACGAGGTACCGGTGCCACCACTAATTCCCTTGCTCTGTCACAGTGAAGACGTAGTACAGGGAGCCCGGGCGTGGATTCGAGCCAATGCTGGCATCACCTCGCTCACAGATCGTGAGCTCAGAAGCTCAACGAACGTCAAGTTCTTGACTCCCACATTTGTTGCCTCCTCGATCATTTTGTGCCACACTTCATCGGCCCCCCGCATCGCATCTTCTCTGGGTCCATCAGATGCAGCTGGTAGCGGAGCTTCTTCACACAGTGGATCATCCGGCTCTGGAAGTTCTCGAGGATCTTCTGGCTCTGGTGGCTGGTCACCCTCATCATCCATGAACACCTCATCACTATCATGAACTCCATCGTGATTTGCTGAGCCCTCCCCTCCGTGTAAGTCCATCGACGGCAGAGGATTCGCAGCAGTACCTTCCCCTCCGGATAAGTCCATCGCCGGCAGAGGATGGTCTTGTTCATCACTTGGAGCTCCAGGTGGGTTGACAAGAGGCCGCCCATGACCAGTAACTGGAAAGGTGTAGCATGCTACCATCAAGTACTTTCGTCGTTGATGTTCTTGATCTTGGCCGGCTGTCATCCTTCCAGACAAGTCCACTGACAGCGTGTAGGCCTCTGGATGCATCACCTTTTGATGAGGTCTTGATCTAGCCTGGGCTCTAATGCATTGGGCACAATCTCGTCGAGCTGGCAAGTGGTCGTTCAGGAAGTGGTTTTTCCAGGCTTCAAGGGCCACACGATTCAAAGGTCGCATTGCTGGTTGAGTCGTCGCCTCAAGTTCACCCATCAACCGTTGGATGTGCCTGTTCAGTGCTGTCGCAATTGCCTCCTTCAAACCAGGAGCCAAAGTTGCCCACGTTTTCGACTCTTGGATGCGCTGTTGCAAAGACATACATCTGAAGGCCTCAAAAGCTTTCTGCTCATTCTCTGGCTCCCCACGTATGCCGTTGAGCTCCAGCAGTTCCAGCATATTGGTCGCAATAGTTGTTGGTTTCCTCTTCTTGTGACCCATGGGGTGCTGGTCGACGTGGATCATATTGATGCCAAAGTGGTTTTGGAACTATTGCCATTCTCTGGTTCGAAACACGGAGAAGTAGTGGTGCTGCTCAACATCCTGGGTCTTCCGATACCTTGCTGGGTCTTCAGGTTGTCCTAGAACCAGCTGTGTTGGTGAGCCTTGTTGCTCACGTACATCCTCCGCCAAGATGAACAGCGACAGGCCTCGAAACCAGAGTGTGACATCACCCTCCACCAAGCCCATGTCAGATGGACGGAGCCAAGTCAGGCCTCCCGTACGGGTTCGCATCATCACGAAGAACACCCGGACCACCATCTCCCTGATACCTCAAAGATGAAACCGTTCTGCATGGGGGCCCCAACACCACTGCACGAACTCGTCCTGTTGCACATAGTGACACCAGGTACGCATACACATTCTTGTCGTGCAGGTTCGCTGGGACTGGTCCTTGAAGGTCTATATATAGCACTTCAGTTGACCCATTTGAGCACCGTTCTTCCCAGTACTTGTGGACCGCTCCTGAAAAGATATGGAGCACTATGTGTTTGGCCTTGAGGAGTCTCCGCCTTTTGTGGCGATTCCATGGGAGAAGTTCTCCAAAGTTCTCGGCCTTCACCTGATCAAGTCTGGAACGATTTTCATCACCACTTCCTCCTCAAGATCAGGAAAGATCTCCTTGACCTTCATTGTCAGCGCAACCTCTGCATCAAGGGTCCTTTTGTCGACCAAGTTGTGATCAGCCATCAACGTCTCTTGACCACCGCCAACTTCCGTCTTTGATGGACGTAGAAAAGCTCCAGCCACTGAAAGATTCTCAAGCCATCACTCCTTGAGATCATCGGGCATCCATTTTGGACTGTCACCTCAACTTCTCGGCCCTCATCGTCTTGCAAACGGCATTGACCATTCCTCCACTGCAGCTCAAAGTCCAAGTCTGCTAGTCCACCCATGGGAATGATCGCAGATCTGCTCGGAGATGCAGGGTTCGAGATCAAGATCTTGGTGCCCTTCTTCAACCTGAACATGTCCGTCACACCGTCCGCAAGTTGCACCGATGTAGGCTCTCCAAGAATCCATTCACCTTCATCGTGAGCTGGTCGTAGAGCGTGAGTTGCCCCACTATCCAACAAGATCATATCGTCCTCGGCTTGGTTCAATGCAGAGATCTGCATGACCTTGAGCTTGGGTTGGATCCTCAGCGACTTCAGAAGTTGGGTTGCCTCGCTCAACAACTCTGTGGTCTTGTCGTTCTTGCTGGAAGATCCACTTTCACTCCCTCCGCCTTTTCCTTCACTTGTTGTCGTGTTGGTCACTTCAGGCGGTACATTGGATCCATCATCGAGTCAGCTCCGGCCATCACCTTTGCAGCTGCTGCAGCTCCCGCTTTGCCACCCATGGTAGAGGAGCCAGTCGTGGATGTAGTAGAAGATGCATTATGGCTCACTTGGCTTTTTTGGTGGATGAGCGAAGCTTGCAGTCGCTCTTGCGATGGTCTTTTGCCCCACATACCCAACACCGGGCCGCTTTGTCCTCCGCAGTCTCGAAGGAATGTTGCCATTTGCAGGCCTTCCCGGCCTTACAGCCCGTGTCGGACAGGAAGTAACGACATGGTTTGTCAGCCATAGGAGTTGGTTTCCCCTTGTGGTCTCCACCAGAAACTTTTGCAGGGGATTTCACATCGCCGTCCAGCTGCTTGATCTTCAGGGGCACCGTTGTTGTCGTAGAGGTGGTTGATGTTTGCACCAAGACCAACGTCTCTGCTTTGGCCAACAGGCACTGTGAGAAAGCCCACAAGTTTTCATGGGTTGGCTGTTGATCTAGGTGAAGTTGCATCCGACTCCGACTCAATCGGAAAGCCGCCTGAGGATCATGTTGCCCAAGTAGCACATCAAGGGCCTTCAAAAGAAGAACTCCGTCAGGGAGAGTTGCATCCACCTCCTGAGCCCGCCCATAGTGCCTTCGCCAGTTTCTGATCCCTGCTGCAATCTCGTTGATGTCCTTGCCCTTGAGGATCGCTGCCAGCTGGCTTAAGAGCAGTTGTTTTTCTCCTGCTCCACCGCTCCACCTGGTTGAAACCGCACCAGCAACCTGTAGATGATTGCGGTGGAGGACAGCACTCTGTCTGTGATCAAAGCCTGTTGTTCCACCTCCGGCAACGCTTTGAGGAGCATCTGGATGCCACGTTGCTCAGTCCGTTGGAACCTGGCTTCTCGAAGTTCATCTGGAAGCTTCGGCACAATCTGGATGCGCTGCAACGGACTGCTATGCTTCCAATCCTCGTAGAAGACCTTGGCCTCTCTGAGAGTCCGTTCCCACCACCATCCCGCAACACTGCTGATGTCTTTCATCACCGGGGTGCTCAAGTGAAGCCAATCTCCAAATTGCAGTGGCGTTGCCGACGATGGAAGATCTGGCAATTCGCCTTTGGTGTTCATGCCACCTGTCGACTCACCCCACATGCCATCCATTCGAAGTCGTGACATTCCTTCTCCCACTCCACCTCCCCCCACATCATGTTCAGGAAGCGTGCCAGAGCGGCCACGACCACCATCATGTAGTTCCCGCGCTGGGATGCGGTCCCCACTCATGTGTTGAGCCCTACTGTGTCCATAAAGGCCATCATGTAGCCCGATCTTGACCACATTGTTCACCAAGCGCTGCATTGGAAACCCGAGCTTGTCCATGTTGATCACCAAGCACTGCATGCGGTGCCCGAGCTCGTTCAAAAAATTCACCAAGCTCTGCTGCAGAAGCCCGACCTTGTTGAGGGTGTCCGCCAAGCTCATGCAGTGCCCGATCGCGGCAAAGATGTTCACCGTGCGTGTACGCTGCCCGAACACCTCCTGGTACCGAGTGCGCAGATGCAAAAGCCCGATGCCGAAGGTCGTCATTCCCACCTCCACCATGCAACGCCCGATCTCGAAGAGCGTCAGTTCCACTTCCACCAAATGCTCCAAAAGGATCACCAGGCATTCGCACGGCAGTGGCATGCTGACCCAACCCAGTTGCAGGGACACAATTGTCAAAACCAGCATTCCAGTACTCTGATTGTTGTAACATAGGTGGTATTGAAACCCGGTCAAGTGCAGATTTGAGGGATCTCACCTCACGTTCAAGCCACACCTGTTTTGCCTCACTTGGGGAAAGGATTCCACTTCCTTCACATGGTTCTTGGGGCTTCCATGCTACATCCCCATTTTTCACCTTTGACTTGGACTCACAAGTGTCATTAGAGCCCACTGCCAAAACTCATATCCCCATCCTGGCCACCCATCGGCGGAACTGGGAACGGAGGCACTGGCAGCAATTCCCTGCTGTCAGGCGGTGGACCATCAGGGACACGTGTGCCGTTGGGGGTATACTTTTTGGAATCTCTTTTCTCAGACCTTACCGCTGCATCACGTATCCTGGATCTTGGGGTCCTACTTCCATGTCTCCCATGCCGTTCAGGTGGAAGAGTACCAACAAAGCCATTGGAGCTATCCGCCGACCCATCCAGTGCTGACCATGGGGATGACTCCATACCCGAGGCAGGCTTACCCATAGATCCTTTCTCCAGTTTGGCCCATGAGTTTCGAATTTTGTTGGCGCAACATGTTCACCATCTCCCCCTCCAAAGCTCTCTGAAGTCCGTCTGGAGACCCATGCTGTTGAACTTTCTGTTGATTACGACTACGAACCAGCCCCATTGTTTTCAAGCTATCACTCTCCCGTGGCATTTCACCCTCAGACATCATCCGGCTGTTCCCATATTCTGTAGATTGGAGTGAGCCTAACATTCCAGCAGCACTTCCACCACGACCCTTCCCAGTAGGTTCAAACAGCCTTTCCGGATTCTTCTGAGCGGCACTTCCAGAAAGAGGAGCTAAAAAGGACGATTCGCCATCACTTCCATCAGCAGGCAAATTTCCAGGCCTCAGTTCTTGAAGACGGAGTTCGCTTTGGACCTTGTCGGAGTAGAACGGATTGACATTGCCCGGTCCCCTGCATGGCACCGACAGGGACCTCGCCATGACCGTCGGAGTTCAGCGCCCCAATGTTGGGCTCATAACCCTTCTAAACCAAAGGCACTTCGCACACCTTTTCTTGATCAAAAATGCCTCCAAGTTGTCAGATCAGACCTATAATGGGAATCTATGCTCGGACCTGTAAATAAAAATCCCTGAAAAAAAATACCAGCGGTTTCCTATTGGAACAAATGAACAAAAATCACCCCATTAATCCAAGCACCTTCCAACTGAGGTCTCAACGCTCATCTTAGTAAGACTTTCTCTGGTGCTGCCCTGCTCTTGCCGCACCTCCTGAAATGTCTCAGGCATGCTCTTTATCACCAATCTCAGGGACTTCCCTCTGAAATCTCCCTTCGTATGAAGATGTAGTTCAAAGAAACAAGGCTGAATGTCTAAAATCAATTGGAAACCGCAGATACACTATTAGTAGATCTACACAGTATTAGTGGCATATTATACGATATTAGATATACTAGTATTTGATATAACGCTTGTTGATCATTGTTAGTACTAAACCCATGCCATTTTTGGGAGACCCAGCGACTTGAGCTCCTCATAGCCAGTGCCAAGTTCTTTCACTCGGCCCTGTGGCAGTGCTGTGCTCAGTGCTGGATCCAGTGGCTCCAGTGGATCCTTCGGATCCATTGGTCACTGATCTCAAGAAGTTGAGTTTCACCAGCAATCGGTGAGCATCAATATAACTGATGACTGATGTCCCCATTTTTCACATCACCCAGCCATGAATGGTATATGGTCAACCAAATGGCTACTATAAGGGTGATGTCCAATATACCCAAAATGGGACAGGCAAACCAACCCCTGATGAATCACATGGGTTGACCGCCGTGTTTGGCCGGTCTTCGGTGTTGACAGTCGTGGTATGCAACTTGGGAACCCAGACGATCGTCCACTTCCAGATGATCCAGCCATGTTTGATCCCCTACAGGTTGGACAAACCCGAAAATCAAAAATATGGGTCAAAAATGTTCAAAATATGTCAAAAGAAAAATTTTCTGGGTGGTTCAAGCCTCAAACAGCTGCCAACCCTAATTCGCGAACGGATTCAACAAAGGTCCATGTGCAACAGAAGTTTGAAGCAGCTACCCCTGACCCCAAGTCTTACCCCTTAAGGATCCTACCGTCACTTGTCCCAGGCGCCTGCATCTCACCAAGTTGCGCTTCGGCACGGGAGAGCGACCGCTGAGTGCCCTGCAACCTTAAGTTATATCCCATCCTTCGGCCGTGGAACCATGGAACATCCATTGCTGAGGCCAGAGGGACAGGGATCTCACATGATCTCATGTACCCCATAGTAGTTTTCCAGCAACCCCTAAAGGATGACCTCTGTAGGACCAATGAGACCAGGACGACTCAACGATTTTAAGCGCTTCGGCACCTTTGAAACAACACGCCACAAAAAATCAGCCTTCAATTTTGCTGGTTCAATGCACTATTTGGCCAAGTGATTTTGAATTCCGGTACATGGACGGTTTGCCATGTTGAAACCCTGTAAGGGTTAAAAAATAGCACCCAGCCAAAAAAAAATAGAGTAAACTCCGAGTAAAACAGTTGAAACATTGGTAAAATCCACCTTTCCTATCTTCCTATCTTTTTGGGGGTTCCATGGGGTTATCGGTTCCCAGTATCAGCGACTCCTGGTTCCAAGGTACACTTGAGAGCTGTCAGTTCGCCAGGTGGCCAAGTCCTGCCAGGCAAATGTGGAAAATTCTACGTAACTGGCAGTTTTAACCGGCAAAAACTGGTTGGTGGTAATACCCTCTGGTAATTTAACGTAGCTATTGAAAATGGCCATTTATAGTAGATTTTCCCATTGAAAATGGTGATTTTCTATAGCTATGTTAGTTTACCAGAGGGTACCCCTCTGAAAAATATGAGTTCGTCAGTTGGGATGATGACATTCCCAATATGATGGGAAAGTCATAAAATTCCATGGTTCCAGTCACCACCAACCAGAAAAGGATGTCACCATGAAAAAAATGACTGTGATGAAGAAAAAACATCATTGTCAGACATATCACTGACAAAAACCAGCGAATTGAAGCAAGGAGAAGCGGGATTTTTCACCCAAGAAATGTCTTGAAGCAGAAAAAATGTTTACCCTCTGGTAATTTAACATAGCTATTGAAAATGGCCATGTATAGTGGATTTTCCCATTAAACATGGTGATTTTCCATAGCTATGTTAGTTTACCAGAGGGTAAACCATCAAAAAACACATCATTTTTTGAAGCTCTGCGAAATCGCTTAAACGGACTGGCCACAAACTTCGATTCGTAAACTTCGACAAAAACCATCCCATGCCTGGATATCCCATGCCTGTGAGCCCCAAATGCTGAGACCTTTGAACTTTGGCTATTGTTTGGGAGTCGCCCAATTCTACCAAAACTGCCCATTTCCACCCACGACGTTTCTCATGGAACCTGGAAAACCTAAATTCTGAACAGGAAACTCATCTTCCAGACCCCATTTTTGGGGGTGCCAGGTTAGTTGTGTGGATGTATTGCACAATGACAATCTTTCAGAACCCCTCCTGTCCATAAAAAGAGGTTGAAGACTATGTATGTGCAGTAGTTATGTATTTAAATTTATATATATATATATTATATATATATATATTATCTATTCTGGGTTTACCCAAAAATTGAGTACCCCAAATTCTTGCGGTTTATCATATGTCTCATCAAGCGGCTGCAATGAATTCGGATTGTTGGGCTCTCCTCCACCTCTCCTTTGCATTCATTCAGCTGCCTCGCTGGCGGCTGCTTGTGGTTGAGTCCTTTGCTTTGTGGTAAATACATATGAAATCCTTCAATCGATCAGAAGCAATCAGGCTTCAGTCCAATTGTATCTAGAACTCATGAAAGGATGAGCCCAGACTTCTGAGCAGTGTCAAAAATCCATTCCAAAATCTCTCATAATGGTTGGTTCCAAATAGATTGTGAGAACCGCCAATACAATGGGTAGTGTAGCCCCTACTCTAACCATCAACGAACCATCATTTGTCAAGTGTATCCCCATACGTTTGATGATTAAAACCGCTTCAAGGTCCATGTATCAAGGTTTATCAACATGTATCAATGATATCCCCGGTCATCAGGTTTTTGTAAATGATGCTGGAAACGTCATTTTGGGGTGTACATCTATCCCATGCTATTATCCCCATATGACATCCCTAGTATAACAAGTTTCCCTGGCTGTGCTGTCCAAGCGGCTCGTGAAGCCGCGGCAGTTCGCCCTGCAGGTTTGTTTGAGTCAACGCTTCATCAATATACAGGTCATATGTGGGTGATCTTACATCAATTTTTCAATATATATATATATATGTATATATATATATATGTATATATAATATACCATCTGGTTATTTAATATCGCCATGGAAAATCACCATTTCTAATAGGTAAACCATCTATAATTGGGCCATTTTCCATGGCTATGTTAAATAACCAGAGGGTAGTATATACATATATATTAAGTATACGCATGTATAGGTTCTACATAACTTTTATGGTGATATAGATGCGGTTATCACAGCTATTATCTTATCTGTAGTTAATTTGTCTTTATTGTTGATAAATCTATGAGTTGTACATGAACGCACACACATATAATATTACAATATATTATGTGTATGTGTGTGTGTTCTGTTGCGATAAACTCGATGCAAGAAACCATACCCCGTTGACCCAATGACTTAGCATGGTATTTTGGTGACATCTCCATGATCTTGCCATGTGGCTTCAATGAGGATTGTTACAGATGTTTTTTTCTCATTAACACCTTCATTTATAGGAAATTTCCCAGCTAGCCATGTTTGATTACCGGAGGGTAAAGGGAAAAAATATATTATAAATTATAAACCAGCAGACTTCAGGGTTTCCCAAAGATGTTCAAACAAAGCCATGTTGCTTGCCTCAAGATCGTGCAAGCGATTGCTCGCGCTGCTCAGGAGGTCCACGTGTGCTTTCCTTTAGGCACTTTAGGCCATCGGAAATTCAGATGGCTGTGTTGATGATCTTCGAATCAAATGGATTGGTAAACCAATGTTACCCCCAGATATGAGGCTCTTGCTGCACAAATGTCCGTCAAAATCGTCAAACCACTCCTAGGATTGAAGTGGCATAGCCTCCATCAAGGTCTGATCACCCGATCAGAGTGATGTGGTCGACAGAATCTTTTTGAACCATCGAACATCTGAGGGTAAACGAGATTTTTCGAACGATCCTCATGAAGAAATTATAGCCGTAAACTTACGGCTGATGGGATTTTACATGATTTTACGAAGTGGTTGAGGGTGATTTTGGAGAAATGGTCACGGATCACAATAAATCTACCCTTTGGCTATTTAACAGTTTGCCATGGAAAATCATCCCTTTTAATAGGTACATCATCTATAACTGGGTCATTTTCCATAGCTATGTTAAATAACCAGAGGGTATATAAATCTGAGAACACCCCTATTCACAACAATAATGGTTCACCAGGCTCTAAACTACCAGGACATTCGGGGTTTGATGCGATGGTGACTTTGTTGCTTCAAAGCTCCATTTTCCTTGGCGAACCCGTGTTTGGTGGTCTTCCAACTGTGTACTGCAACAACGAATACTGATTGGTTTATTTATAGTAACCCTCCAAAACAGAAAACTAAAATCCCATATACTACAATATACTACAATAAACCAAGAGTAATGTCACCTTTTCTACCCTTTCTGGGTTGCTATAAACGATGTATCGGAATGTTCTGATCCATCTTTCAGCGCTTCACACCAAGACGCTGCTGATCTTTGCCTTTTAGCACCTGGCTGAAAACATGAAAACACGAACCAACATAAGTCCAGAAGCAGTATATATAGTGAATGTGTTTTTCCCCACCTGTCAGAATAAATATGCCATATATACTTCCAGATGGTATGTCAGAAACTATGTCAGAATAGCGGTTTCTTCTTGTCTCCAGCAAATGTGGGATATTGCCAACGATGATGCGGCTTTGCAGGAAAATCTATGATTTTAGCAACCTAAAATGGAAACTGTCTGTCAGCGGAGGATCAAATCTTCTCTGCGGTGGGATTGCGCAAACGAGAATAAGACCATATTGGACAGAATGATAGTCCAAGATCAGCTCCATTCCTGAATTGGTTTGGGGTCAATGTTACAGAAAACCGAAACTCATTCGGTATGACCTCAATAAGTTGAGGTTTCGAGGTTATTGCATAAAACTAATCACAGGGCATGGCCAGATGTTTCTAGTTTGAATACATCAATTGGTAAACCAATAGTGGCTATAAGAAACGCAAAGGACCATAGGTGAAATTGATGGTGTATCAGTATCAATTTCACTATGAAACATATTACCCTTGGTAAACCAAAAAGGCTATAACACCATTACTACATCAATCTGGGTAAATTATAATATTTCACTAACCTGAATTAAGGCCCATTTGGGGATGATTTCCCTTATTAACTATGATTGCAGTGAGGTCGCAGTGAGGTCGTTATAATTTACCATAATTTACCCAGATCAATTGACGAAACCATAGTAATGCTGTCACAGTACCGGTGAAAGACGTTTCGATGAATCCCCGTGAAGTCGGTGAAGCCTAAGCCTAATCATGAACAGATAGATATACCATAAACCAATTGAATAGCTATTAATATTCGGTAGTATATACATACATACATATATATATATCCATTAATAGCTATTCAGTTTGTTATTAGCAGTTGGATAATGAATAGTCAGTATTGGTAGTTTATCCATGTGTTTTTGCCATATCAATAGCCATGAATAATATCTATGTTGATTAACCATATCACTCTAGTATATACAATCATTAACAATCGATATATCTACCACAATGTGGGTAAAACAATCATAAACCACCCGTTTGGGAATGGTTTATATCACCCATTTATAGTAAAACTGACAGTGGTTTGTGATGTTTGTGATTGTTTTATCAACATTAATAGGCCATTAATCATATCTGATTAATATCTATTCACTGATTAACCATATCAACCATACACAATCATTAACAATCGATATTTGGGAATGGTTTATAGCATCCATTGATAATAAAATTGCGGCTGGTTGATTATCAACATTAATAGATATACACCAGCTGGGTCAACCCTAGCTACCCTCCGGTAATTTAACATAGCTATTGAAAATGGCCATAGAAGTAGTGGATTTTCCCCATTAATAGCATGGTTATTTCCCAATTAATGGTTTACCTATGAAAAATGGTGATTTTCCATAGCTATGTAAACGTTCACCAGAGGCTATCTACCAGCTCAAGGCCATTGGCCTCAGCCGAGAATTGTTGCAGCTGCTTCTGCACCAGCTCCAGCTCGTCTCGAAGTGCCGAGCCCTGGCAGGCTGCGCCGAGAGATATCTCGAATCCCCGTCCCCAACTTGGACTTGTCGATTAACTGTAATATATATATATATATACTAGTATATATATATATGATATATATGTATATATATATATATACATACACACATAACAAACATATATATATATTAGTAGCCACCAACAAGATAGAAAAGTTGCAAACCTGGAAACTAGAGGGATAATATCATCTATACCATCCTGGAAACACTGTTCTATCTATTTGGGGGTTGCTATGTATATAATGCGATGAATTGGTTATGCATCAATGTAAATGAGTTGACTTAAACATAGATGGATTATACTATTTTTATCTAAGGGGCTTAATATGAATAGTGTGGTACAACCAAGGCTGCCCAAAACATCCCAAAACCATACAGCATGCCCTCCATTTCCCATCTTCAACGTCCCACAACCGGCCGGGGTCCGGTCCCTCGCCTCGTGGTCCGGTCGCAGCAGGATGTCGGAGAGTCGCTGCTCCAGCTGCGCTAAGCGCTGCTGCTGGGCCTCCCCGCGCGGTTTTTGGAGCGCTGGACATGTGGTGATTTTGTGAAAAAAATGGGGGGATTATGGTAATAATAATAGGATTATCAATGTTACACTGATTATGTTAAAAAGATTCTTAATGTTACACTGGTAATTAATAATTAATAGGGATTATTGTATTCTATTGTTGGATGAACAATTAATAGATATTAATAGGGATTATTGTATTCTATTGTAATAGGGATTATTATATTCTATTAATAATTAATGGATTATTGTATTCTATTGTATTCTATTGTTGGATGAATAATTAATAGATATTAATAGGGATTATTGTATTCTATTGTTGGATGAACCATGAAAAATCAATTGGTATCAATATGTTTTTGGATATATGGATGGGACTATTGTTGGATGAAGCCATCACTGATACATTGATCAATATTGATAAACTATCAGTGATTGGTTATTGGATAGTCAATAATTGTGGGTTAGATATGGAAAAAGCAAACTATGGTTTCCTGTTTGGAACATGATATATTTCTATGGTGGATCTTCCACAATCTTCCACATTTATGTTAGTTTACTGGAGGGTACAGTACCCTACAAAAATTGGGAGTTGAGCTATAAAACATGGGTGTATGTAAGCAGTTAATAGGAACAAAGGGATTTAACTTACGAAACTTGGGATGTAGCATATGCAGCATCCAAAGATTCGGATTCAACATGATTCAACCAAGAAAAAATGAGAAAACTGTGGATTATTGAAGCTAGAAAAATTGAAATTTAAGCTACAAACTGCTAGCTCGTGCTAATGAATCTGTTCATGGAAGTCAGTCGATTCCACATGCGGAATCGACCTAAGAAACAGATCAGCTTCAGCAAATCCAAGATACGCCGGCTGTAATAAACTACATAACAAATACATATCAATACAGATCATATGATTATTAGAAATATTCTAGTATAATCACCATCCTTCTGATGAAATCCTCAAATGATTGCATTTCTATGGATCTGGAAATGATCTGGAGCCATACACTTGCCATCGGTATCGCGGACGGCCTGCAGCTCAGCTTGGGCCACGTCCTGGGGCCGATGAGCGAAAAATGCTGGATCGACCATGGATTCGGCCCCTGGAAATGGAAACTACAGAATGCTGGAAGGTTTTTTTTTGTTTTTTTAACACCTCTTGAAATCATACTTTTGAGATTTCACGAATCTTGGATTCAAGTGATGTGGGGATGGGTCAAAACCTTGTACCCCTTCTGTTCACATCAAAATAGCTGGGATTCATGGATGTTCATCCCCCTAAAAATGGTATGTATATAGGTATTGATCCATAGCCATGTATAAAATATACCCATAGGATCCATGGTGCTGCTATATATGGTAACATGGATCCCATCAATATACCCCCTTTATGTTAGCATATATACCAGCACCATGGATCCGTCATGGGATAGTAAGTGCATCCGCCAAGACTCTCAGAAAACTATTGGAGCTTGCCGGTCGATGGTGGCCCAAGATGCGATCAACCCAGCGGCTACTTTCGAGGTGTGAAACCCCTTTCCCTGTCCACTTGGAGATGTAAAACCTAAGAAACGACATGTGAATTACCTCCCACATGTGCGATGATCAAAACATCGTATAAATAATTATAAATATGGACATCCTATGGCCAAACTACAATTCGCCATGAGTTAATGGTGGTATGACCATCCCCCAAATACCGGGTTAGTTACTCATCCAACTAACCTGACGATGGCAGTCCACAAAAGCCACATCCCCTAGCTGCCGCACCTGCTTCTCAGTGAGCTGCTGCAACTGTCTCAATTCTTCCGCCCAGGTTTGCAAATGATGCACCTGATGGCTGGAGCGAAAGCCAACAGCGAAAGCCGCAGACTTCCAGACTTCCAGGGAGCAATCTTCATGAGATCCCAGGCTGCGTAAATCACTGTGGAAAATTCAAGGGAAAAGCGATAGGAAACCATTCTTTATCATAAATGGTGAGGTTTCCAATGTGTTTGGGAATACACACTGCACGGGTGCATGGTCAGGTATTGCAAATCAGTGCAAGTTGATGTGAGGATAGGTCAAAACCATTGAAAACCCATGATACCATATTTGGGGCATGAATATCCGTGCATTTTGATGTGAACTGATACCAGGGAGTTGACCCATCGGTCAGTTTCTCTCCAGTGAGTTGTGGAGATGGACATTGATGGTTTCCTCCAACTGCAGAGTTAACGAAATAACACCAATCCCATATCCTCCCATGGCATATTTACTCCAAGTTGGGCCATATCGGAGAAGTATGGAGAAATGCTGACCAGCATGGCGGCCATCTACTGGAAGATGGTTGTCCCTTTTCAAAAAGCGCACTGCTTGGACACAGGCGCACAGTTATGTTGCGAGCTCCTGATAACATTCAGTAGTCCATCCTCATCATGTACCTGTCTTGCTTGGTGGAGTGGGATATCTCACACATGGGGACCCAAGATGTACCAAGATGTGGTCTACTTTGATGTGCATCCCATCTGGCAAGTGAGACATAAACCTAGCTAGCTGCACCTTGTTTCACTGGAAAAAGACCGTTGCTGGATGTCGCTGGACTCATTCACCAATTACTAAGTGGCATGCCTTAGGCACTTTTTTTTTAAAGGTTCCAGTGCGCTCAACACCTACTGTGCCGGTTGTGGGATTGCCTCACTGAATCGCTTGAGTAAAGCTGGAAGTTTCTGACCAAATCGTCGTTCAATGGCTTCTGTCAACTTGTCGTTGTCGGAGACCAAGTGGTCGTCGTAGGTCTTGGCCTGTGGATCTCCGTGGGGAATGCGATAGTGATGGACGTAGCCGATGCTTTCGTTGAGCGAAATGTGTTCTGTCGGCACAGAGGACACCACGGTGGCCATCATGTCCGGAGTCATTGGGATTACCGAGGAACGCTTCGTTTTGGGGTCGAAGTCCTTGAGCCAATGCCACCAGGCGTCGTTCGCCACGTGGACGTTGTAGACGTACTTCGGCGAGGCCTCCACGGTGTCCGGTTGCCCCAAGCGCTCCTGGAGATGCGCCTCACGCCACGGTGAAGCAATCTCCAAACTGCCATTGAAGCACGAGCGAAGTGAAATCGTTTGAAAGAAATGCTCCGAACTTCCTCTGGAGTTTTGTTTTGAGATCGTGTGATGGCATCCCAACCTGTCCTCAGATAGTCTTGTGGAATCTTGCCGTCTGGAAAGATGTTGCCACTGTTCAGGTGGAAATACTCGTCGAAGTCAAAGGATGGGATGACCCATGTGGCGTGGCTCTTGGCCCGATACAGGTAATCCCGAATCACCTAGTCGAAATGCCGACCGCACATATGCAGGGTTTTATCTCGTGGATACTGCGGCACATCAAAGTGGATCTTTGTGGCCAGACCAGCTTTCAGGTATTAGGACTTCCTTGACAGCATCCTCGGTTCCCTTGAAGGTGTAGACAAAAAAGTGGTCGACCCCATGCAACAGAGAAAATTCGAGCCACTCCACCATGTGTTTCACCGTCCTGCCGTAATTTTCGGGTGCGGAACTTGAGACATTAGCATCGCGGGCACAGGCGACTGAGTGATACTGCTTCACTATGCCAGGTTTTCTTCTTGTCCGAACCTGTCCAATGTTGCGTCCATTTTTATCCTCCAAAAACACGTCAAAAGTCAAAAGTCTCTTTCTCAGCTTCCCCCGCGGGCCAATCACAAGTGGCAAATACGAATCCAAGGACTAAGGACCATGCCTCTCTGTTGGTGTCTGCCCAGGCTTTGCTTCGTTGCAGTAATTCTTCCTGGCAACGACTTTTTTTGATGGGGTACCAATGTGCGCACAAAAAAACAAATCGCTTTTAGTGCTATTAGTCAAGAAATCATAAACCACCTATATGTTACATATGTTGATGGTTGATACCACCAAGTTGATACCACCAATTTACTGCATGTATGGTCGAATTGGGGATGGAACATATTGCATTACTAACATTATTTAGCCATCAATAGCCATCATGGACCAGGCTGTGGCATCTTCAGTTGAAGAATATGCCAAGACCAACTTTGATCATAACACAAGTTGGAAAGTATCAATCTCAACGGATTGGTTTAAGGGAAAATCTCCAGGAAACAATAGATTTCCCATGAAGATCATGGGGGCTTAAACCAGTAAAATTTCCCTTAAACCAATCCATTGACAATCATGTTTCTCTGGAAACAAGTACCAAATTTACAAATTATATATATATATTGATTGATATTGATTATACTACAGTATATCCAACGTTTCTTTCTGAATTCCCCATGTTTGATGCTTTAGCCTCTGAAAAATCAAACATAACCATCGACAAGTCCGTTAGTTCAAGATTGTTTCCCATTTACCCTCTGGTTATTTAACCTAGCCATGGGAAATGGCCCATAGAAATAGATGGTTTACCTATTAATAGCATGGTGATTTTCCATGGCTATGTTAGTCATAACCAGATGGTAAAACATTCTAAAACTCACATTTTTGGTGGATTTCGCAGCCACCTTTGATGACACCGGCAGCTTAAAACCGCTCCACCAGCCATCCGCTCCTTGAGTCCTTCAAGTTCCTCGCGCAGCTCGTGCGCTGCGGCTTGATGGCCTGGGTCATGTTGAAACATCGTTGCGGCTTGATCTTTTACCAACGTATCTATCATTACCCTCTGGTAAACAAACATAGCTATTGAAATTGGCCACACAAATAGTTGATTTAGCCGTAAAAAATGGTGATTTTCCATAGTCATGTTAGTTTACCAGAGGTCATCAGTATCATCTACTCAATGAATAGTATGAAATATGAGTATCTGGCAAATGTTCAAACAATTGTATCAAATAATGTGGTTTGTTATTATTTTACCGACATTAATAGGCCATTAATAATACTATATTAACTGATTAACCATATCAATCTACCATATACAATCATTAACAATCGATATAGCTACCATCATGTGGGTAAAATAATGTCATAAACCACCAATTTGGGAATGGTAACCATACCACCTATAAAAGTGGTGATTTGGGGATGGTGTATTATTGCTTTAACCACATTATATCAATAAATAGTATCATCAAATAGAAGTATCTATCATGTTCTAACAATTGTATCAAGTATTATTACAAAACCATACAAAACCACTATATTTGGATGGGTCAATATTTTTTTGAGCCCAAAACAAAATGGTTTGGTCCGAAAATGTTGGGGAACCTGCCCTTAGATTCATCTATCCACTGGTTGATCATCATGTTCCCTGTCACTAGGGCTTTCCCATAGTCATGGGGCTACCCAAGCTCGCAATAGCTGGTTTACAGTGAAAATCCCATCTATAAATGGATGAGAACTAGGGCTAGCCCTATTTCAGGAAAGCTCCAAATAGCCATACCTGGGGGATCTCCAGGCACCAGGCACCTCTGGAACTGGTCTCAAGGCCCTCTTTTAAGGCCTCCAAGGATAAGGAGAGGTGGTTCCTCGGCCAAAAGGGGATTGGATCAAGTCATGGAAAGTGATAAGTTCCATCCTGTCATATCTGTCATCTAGTTGTTGCTATGTGTTGCTATGTGTTGCTACTTGTTGCTGCTTTTGCTGATGTCTAGTGAATTCTAGTGACCTATATAGTCAATGTCAATTAAAAAAAAAAAGAAAATCCCAGGTTGACCCACAAAGCTGCGGCAATTTCAAAGGTCCGAGAGGCGTGGTGGCATTCCTTAGGATGAGCTTTGCGTTTCGGAGGCAAGTCCAAAGGGGGGGCCCTTCAGAGGTTGTCCAGACGTGGTGCTTGTGGTCACTGGTGTTGATGGTTCATCGTCGGATTCGATCCATGATAGTTTGCTAGTCAAATATCAAGCCTGACAAAGCAGTTCCACGTAACGTGAAATGATCTACTTATAACGTAGACCTCTTGCCTGGTGCACCTGAGAAATTGTGTGTTCCAACGCAGCAAAGGCACGCTCTGTCACCTCGAAATGTGGTCGAAGGTTGAGAGATCAGCAAAGTCACATGGGGGTTTCCTGAAAATGGTGGTTCCAAAAATGGATGGTTTATAAGGGAAAATCCTATTAAAATCGATGATTTGGGGTACCCCTATTTTAGGAAACCCCCACATGCTCTGAATAAGCACTAATATGGTAGACCCAATGCCATAAACCTATCATTTGGGAATGATAGTTCCCATCCATTTCTGGTGATTTTAGGAATGGTCTGTTATTGGGTTTGCCACATTCTACATGAACAGGGATCTAGCCATATCGCTATGTCCAGACATAGGGATGATAAACCCGCATAACATAAAACTGGTAGATGGAAATATTAGAACCAATGGCTGGTAGAGTAATTATATGAATATGTATACCCCTAGGGAATTTAAGATGGCTAAATGGAACATCATTTTTTTTACAGGTAAACAACTTCCTACAAATTAGCCACGTTCCATTACCTATGCGTTCATGCATGTTCAATCATCTTCATAGATGTCAATACATTTTAATCGACAATCGACCAAGTTTGAGATCAGAATCCTAGAATATTGATGAATATTGCCGACCTCAAAATGTAAATGATCACCATGTTTTTTTGGAACGCATAAACACGGTCGTGCTGCGCCAGTCAAGGCTCCAATCTTGGTTGATTCAATCACAGATTCTATGCTGTTTGACTACCGGAAGATTCGCCAAATCTCCGCGAGCGCTCCCATTTTCTCTTGATTTGATCATGGTTTTCTACCAATCCCCGTCCAAGTTCTCACATCCAACAAATCGTCAGCGTTTTTTTCCAAGTTCATCGACGTCAATCCCCAATTGAAGCCAGGTTTAGCCCCAAAAAATGATGCGAACATCGCATCACATCGAGTCATGTTTGGTATGGTCAAGTCACCACTACTTTTGGCCTGTTGAAGGAGCTTCTGCAGCTCCAACTGCTTTTCATTCCTTGGGATCGCTCTTTGGCAAAAGGGAACCAAATCTGGGTCTGAACAGATTCTCTGAGGAAGATGAACATGAAGATTGGAGAAAACAAAACAAACTGGTACAGTGACAATGTAACAACATGGTGATAGAGGTGGTAGGTCTAATATGGTCAACTTGGTGCGAAAACAATCACAACTGGAACAGGTGGCTAATCTTCTACCACAAGGGTTGGATGGAACTTTGAACTCCCTGGAGGAATTACACTGACAAGGCTGTAACCATTCAAATGTTGAATAAATTTGGAACAAAACCGAACATGACATATCAAAAACTGCAAAGCCAACATACCCGTACCAGCCCATACCGGCCCAGCACATCCCTATAGGTTCGTCAAGTTGCAGCTCTTTGCAAACTCGCCCCTGCTTGTCGAGACGAGTATCAAAGCGCTCAACCAATCCTCAAGCGGTCCAAGAATAATGAATACCCTCCGGTAATTAAACGTGGCAATGGAAATCAATGGAAAATCCTCCATGTTAAATGATTTTCCGACTAAACTGGTAAAACCTCTATTTAAAATAGGGGAGTTCCCATTGTCATTGCAATGTTTCTGCTAAAATCCCACATAGTTTGGTCTTAAAATGATGGTTCACCAGGGTGCACCGGTTCAGCAAGGCGCTCTTGTCCAGCTCTTGCCATTCTGTGTGACAAAGTTCCAGCTTCTCCATGCCTCAAAGGTGCGACTTGGTCAAGAAATGAAACCCCCAAAGCCCCGGGCCAACCCATGTTTGGTCATATTTGCTGCAGATCCGGATCGTGTTCATCACCATGTTTTAACGTTGGTCAATAGGCATCCTACAGTATTTCCTGGGAGGTTGTTGCTACGTCCATCCCCACCAGCCAAAATGCCAAGTTTTTTCGTGCCAGGCCCCTTTGCCCTGGCCTTTGTGGCAATCTTGGTTTCACAATGTCATATTCAACTGCATCTACAATGAAACCAGCGTGCAAATCTATCCAAGATATCCAAGTCAATCCATCTAACCATCAACCACGATTGAATCCCATAGGAGAATCACTACCAAGACCAAAATGTCCTGAGTATGGCCTTAGCAATCCCTATACTTGACTATGGGACAGTCATCAACCCCTGTAGACATCCAATAGCACGTTCCATCAATCCCGACTAAATTATGACTCCATCAATCCCGACTAAAGTATAGCCATAACCATCAACTCTTTAGGGAACAAAATTATCTCCATGTACGGTAGAGAAAATTCTTCAAAATATCCCAATCATAAGACCCCTGAATTGTATCATTCCCCCATATCATGTATTTTTCCCCAGGAATGGTAAGCCCAGTTTTCCAAAAACTCATTCCACAATCCCCCCATCATACAATCTCCACCAAAAATCCGAAAATGATACCTTTTCATTATATCCATGATATATCAACCATCCAAACTTCGAGAACAATAATCCCACTATAAAAATGCATATTTTATACCACCATTCTATCACCCCTCCCCTCATCATACCGAAACTCCAACAAAATCACCGCTGCGTTGGAGAGAATGATATCTACAAAAATGATCAAAAACTACAGTATATCATAGTATATCATATCCATCATATCATATCCGCATCACTTCAGAGCACCCCCAGTTGTTTTTTAATCCCCAGGGGAAATACTTGGATTTGCCGAAGGTGGTGACAGTCCATTTCTCGATAGAAAAATCACTGGCATCATCCCTATGGATCCCTATGGTATATCACTTGTGATCATCCGAAGCATCCCCAAACAGTCCAAATTCCAAAAAGACCAGATATGATGTTCCATATATGTTCCATAGAAATGAAAGTCTATGACATTATTCTATGATTCTTCTATGATCTTCTCATCATTTCTATCTGGTTGGTGGTATACCTACCCCTCTGAAAAATGATGGAGTTCGTCAGTTGGGATGATTATTCCATTCCCAATATGATGGGAAAGTCATAAAATTCCATGGTTCCAGTCACCACCAACCAGTATCTATCATTACCCTCTGGTAAACAAAGATAGCTATTGAAAATAGCCGCAAAAATGGTTGATTTACCCATAAAAAATGGTGATGTTCCATATGCCCAGCTGCTTCCTTTCTGCTGTTCCCTCAGCTTTTCCACCAGCTCTGCCAGTTCCTCCGCCATCTCGCGGGCCTTCGCCACGGAGGCCTGCGAGGATTCTGATGACTTTGCTCTTTGAGGCGACCAAGACAGACCGATTTTTTGGGCGTTCTGTTTGGCTTGGCATTGATGGAAAACATCTATGAAACATTGATAAAAATGGATGAATTGATATGAATTGCCAACGAAATCAGACATGTGATGAGAATCGAGAATTTAAATCATATGTTTATTCATTTTGGGATACATTGGAATGAATCCCTCCAGTTTGCTGAGATGAAAATTGTTCAAAGATTGAGGGTTGAACCGACAAGACCAAGGGTATGAATTTGGGCACCATAAATTTGTTCCCTATTGCAACACATGAACTTGACGCGTACCGATTTAAGCATTGTTTTGGATCCGCCACCTTTGGGTCTCTAAATCAAGGCACACCGATCTTCCTGTGTGATGCAGTTGATGGCTAAGCACCGAGAGACTATATAATCTCATCCAAAAATGCTGATAATTAACTATATCCTAGGACCTAGGACTAAACTCTTCTTTAGTTTCTACTCAAATCTTCCCAAATCTACCAAAATAATATCAAAATAATTCCACTTTAGAGGAACACTATTCAAAGGGATGCTATTCAGAGTTGCACAGCTGCAGAGTTGCACAGCTGAGAGGCAGCTTGGCCACGAAGAAGAAGCAAAATGCAGTGAGGTAGCCAAAAAAAACATTTTGATATATGTGTTCAATTATATCTTGAAATAAACAAAATAACATAAAATGAAAAAAACGTGGAAAAAAACGATATGTATGTATATATATATATATAGATAAAAAAGTAATATACCTGTATATATAATATATATATATATACATATTACCGAAAAACATTCCCCATTGTTGCTTTGCAATAATGTTACGTTTAGAAGGGGCCAGGGTACCCTTCTACTCGACAATCTCGTGGCATACACCACAACACACAAAAAAAACATACTTGTCCATTCAAAGAACCAAACACACAATTGTCTTTGGCACCATTCCACTATTTTTTCAGACACCGCAAAATTTGGCAAACTCTGATTGGAAACCCTTTGAATAGATCCCCAGAGATGAAGAACAACATATATAAGAAAACCCAAATAAGTCTTATAAAATTATAATGTATGTATGTATGTATGTCCGTATATATATATATACACATGATATGTATATATCTACATATACATGTGTATATAATTATATAATATATATATATATGATATATGATATATGTATGTATATATACATATATATATATATACACTAATAAGTCATGTCATTTTCTCCATGTTTTTTCGATTTTCCTAGCTCCCAAAGCCGCCATGGCTTTTGCGTTACTGCCTTGGTGATCTCGTGGTTTCCCTCGAGGCGATTTCGCTCCTTCTTCACCGTGGCCAACTCCAGCTGCTGGGCCTCCAGCTGCTCCTTCAATGGCGATTTTGTTCGGTGATTTTTCTGCAAAAAAAAACTGAAATCAGATCATATCTCATGTAAATATGTAATGTATATCTAATGTATCTCTAATGTACATCCAATGTATATCTAATGTATATCTCCTATATCAAATCCGATACAGTTGTATACCTTGAAATAACTGAAATCAAACCATCCCCACAACCATACTCGGGATGGTTGAGAAATCCTGCACCAGGTGGTAACTAACTATGAAACACTGGGACTATAATAATGATTTAATGGGATTATGATGGGATAAACATAGATGAACCATCTACCAACTGGTGCGGGTTTTCCTCCATCCACATTATCATGTGTATATCATGTATATCTCATGTATCATATCAAAACCGAATATATATATATATATACATACATATAATATCATATAATATATATTTTCATATATTTTCATTGTTTATATCGTATATACAAGGCATATACCGATATTAATATCCTCACAAAGAAAAGAAAACGCCAGTCCTTGTGTCTCTGCACCTCTTCGCTTAGCTTCTGAAGCTCTTCGCTTTGCGCAGCAGAACCTGCAGAAACTGCCCAGTGACATGGTGACATGATTTCAATGTGGAAATGGCACCATTCTTCAAGTTCTAAGCTCTGAACATTTCCAAACCATCAATTTGTTTCGTGTTTTTTTTTCAAAATGGTGATTTTCCCATTTAAAAAAAACGTGTTTTTCCTCTACCCCTCACGTCAAAATAATCAACACGCATCAAAAAACAACAGGCTGAAATCAATAGAAAGAACAAATGTAGGCCACCACCTCAAACCCCTCACCACACTTCCCGCTCCACCCACTTATATGCGCAAAAACTATCACATCCCAACAATATGTAAAAATCATCCTAAGACCCACCAATTTGGCGGTTTTGTGGCTACCACATTAACTTTACCCACATCAATCTGCTTGGATCTGTTTTCTTCGGTAATCATTAGCCCCATTTTTCCTGAGCTCTACCCTCTGGTAATTTGTTACATAGCTATTGAAAATGACCATAGAAATAGTGGAGTTTTCCCATTAATAGCATGGTGGATCTTTCCATAGTTTTTTGTTAACGTTTACCAGGCCGGGTATCTTAAAAAAGCCCCAAAAACACCGGCCGAACTCTCCATGACATCCCCATAAAATCAGTCCCAGCAGCAGCCCTCGAGGTGCTTCACCTGCCCCAAGCTTTGATGCTGCGCATCTTGGAGCAGTTTCACATGCTCCTGGATGACCTGCCACGGCGATGGTGGCAGAATCTCCTGGGAGAATCCACCAATTCTTTTAAAGGAAAACGGTCCACTGTTTTTTTTGCGTATATTAATACAATAAGGTTCTCCCATTCTAATATAAATATATATATGATAGTAAATATATATATATATGTATATGATTGTATATGTATTATGTATATCCTAATTCTAGTATGTGAAAGTTTGATGTCAAAAATATGTAAAGCACTACAGCACCACCTCAAAAATACGATTAAACACGCCACTTGGGGGGTCTCAGCCTGCAGGTTTTTTGCTGGGATGACCTTCCAAAGAGAGAGGCAAAAATCATTTGGATCATTTGGTATTTACCCTCTGGTAATTTGTTGCATAATTAGCTATTGAACATGGCAATTTATAGCTGATATAGCCATAAAAAATTGTATTTTTCCATATTTTTCCATAGTTATGTTTGTTTACCAGAGGGTACATGTATTTAAACGCTCCGGTGTCATCAAACGTGGCTGGAAACTCCCCTATTTATGCTATCCAGCTATACACCTCCAGCTCGGGGATCTCCCACCAGTGGCCTGGACCCTTTCTGCAAAAGGCTGCAGCATACCTGAGAAAACCGTCAGATTCAAAAAAATATACCATACCCCAACTAAGTCATGGGGGTTTCCTAAGTCATGGGGGTACCCCCAGTTATCATCCATTTTAGATTAGGATTTTCCATTGTAAACCATCCAGCGAGCTTGGGGTAGCCCCATGGCTATGGAAAGCTCCATATGGGGATGGAAGAACACCGAAACAAATCCCGGCAATTTTTGAGCTTCGACTGAGAATCACTCATGTTTAAAGGAAAATTCTCTTCCAACCCCTTGTTTGGCAAAGTCTATGATAGTTGGGAGAATTGAAGATGCTTGCTACACCTGTTGAGTTTCAACACCGGGAAAAACAACGAGGCAGAACCAAGGAAGGGTTCTACCACAAATGTCACAGTGTTTGAGCATCAAACTCAACACCACATATCCCACACTCGCATTTCGTTGGCTGGTTGGTGAAAGTGAGGTGACAAGATGTAAAAAAAACATCCACATCCCATCCACCTCACCCATCTCTCGTGTTGACGAAGCCATTCAGAATGTGCGAAAAACGAAAGACACTTATCTATGACAATCTATGACTTAGGGGTTTCCTCTAACAGTAACTAGGGTACCCTCTTTACAGGCTATATACTGCTTACATAGACTATGAATGACTATGACACATCTCGTCCCAGCATGTTGGGGCCAAGATACTCATCATGTGCAGCCGAACGAAATCTTGCATCATGGCTTCTTCGCCCGACCTGGCATCCCAGGGCTTTGCGGCGTTTTTGAAGATGACAAGATTTCAATAAATGGAGAAAACAACAACAGAACAAACATGGGAAAGGATCTTCCTTTTCGGCATTGACATCAAGCTATTCTTCTACAGCCTGGATGTTTCAAATGCCTTCAGCAAGTCCTCGAACTGTTCTCCGAGCATGGTCAAGTCACGGTGAATTTCCATAGCATCGATTGCTATCTGTGTGATGGTCATCTCACCATTCTTGGGAATCTTTATATTGGTCATCAAAATTTGCTATTAACTGTGGTATGAACAATTGCCTCAATATGGCACATATCAATTGCAGTTTAATGAGGAAATTGATGAGAAACAACTGGATTATGGAGAGCCATTTTTTTCAGAGGAACCCAATTTTGGATACCCATTTTTTCCAGAGACGCTATACCCTATTTTGGTTGCAAAAAAATTGCCAAAGTTTAGATGTGGTTGCAAAAACTTTGCCAAACTTGGATTTGCCTAAGGACCCAAATTTAAACAATATATATATATATATACCCTTAATCGATTCCCCAGTTGTAGTAAACTTCCGGGAAAACAAACCAAATCATCGACAAACCGCAAATCTAGGACTATACACCATATATGATATGATACCTTTATAGATTGGATCATTGGGTAAATTGCAACAATTCGAATACATATCAGCCAATCCGTTCTGAATCATATTCTATCCCATGATCCCAAGTATTTGACCAATATATCATCACATATATTCCCATATATCATATGAATCATATCCCATATCATATCCCAAATATTCCCATATATAATAAAATATATTCCCATCTATTCCGATATATTCCCATATATTATATCCCATAAATTGGTGAATTTTGCCTCAACTTTGCCAAAGGCACTGATCCTCCTCCAGCTGCAACGACACCACTTCCGCCATGACGGGACGGGTGCGCGCGCGCGAAGCTTTGATGGCTGGGTTCAAGTGGAAAGACATGGTGGTTTTTTATCTGGTTGGTGGTTTCAACCTACCCCTCTGAAAAATGATGGAGTGAGTTCGTCAGTTGGGATGATGACATTCCCAACTGAATGGAAAAATAAAAAATGTTCAAAACTCCAAACCACCAACCAGTCATGTTTTTTTTTTTAATGTTTTTTTTCCTGATGGTGAGGGTTGAATGAGATGCGACGAAGAAAGAAGTCGAGGAATGTCAAAGATGTTGGTTTCAAGCAGGAGTAAGCCAACTAGATTCCCTAAACTAGGCAACAATGCCTTACAGAAATTGGGTCTTCAAACTTGCAATTTGTGATAGCGTTTCAGGCAATTCCATCTGACCGAGCTTTTTCAGCATTTCTGACCACCCTTCAACGAATTTTGGCTCATCAACCTCAAGCTCAGAGCCTGCATAGCTTCGAAGCATTCAGGCTCATGATCACCCTGGGATGAGTATGCCCGAAATGGGGAGCGTAGCCAACAAAAATGGGGGATCAATCATGTTATAGCTATGATATGTGTAAGATTGTGTAAGTACATACGGAATTACTAACAATAAATCACACTAGCCAGCTGTCCATGCATCTATTCAGTAGCTATTGATCTACCACATTCCATTCATCTACTGAGAAAATACCGGCTGATGATCCAACTACCGTGAACGGGATTACAAACATATCGGCGATGCCAACCCAAGGTTCATGGGCCCTGATCATCCCCTGTTTATGACTTGGAAGCAATGGACCTGCGCGTTTGCACATGTTAAGGACTAAACATGCTTGAACTGAACACATCCTTTTCTGAGGGAGTATGGTCCAATCCCCAGTGCCCTAGAAACAACCCGCCCCAGAGGAACACATCCAAGACTCCTTGATTTTTTCATGGTGTCTAATTCATAGGGAAAAGGGATTGTAAACCAATTTTCGATCCTTGCAATCCCAATTTCTACATGGTCAATCTTTAGATCAATTGTGAAAACCTTCCTGAGCCAAGTAATTAACCCAATAAATAGAGATACGTAATTTATGAGCTGGCTCAATATTAAGTACCGTAAAAATAGGCAGTATATGTTTTAATTCACTCAAGTAAATTATCTGCCATCTAATACTTGGTTCGATATCAAACTTGGCCAAGTGTTGATTGCTAATTCAATATCGAGGCAAGCTTTTGGAGCCATATATCAAACTAAAACGGGCCCATCATATCATCTTAGTAGCCAGACCGGTTTTTTTCAGCCACGACATATTATGCTTCACTTGGCATGGCAAACCATATCATGTCAATAGCCATTACTTATACTGGTTGGTGGTTTCTACCTACCCCTCTGAAAAATCATGGAGTTCAGTTGGGATTATTCCATTCCCAGCTGAATGGAAAAAAATAAAATTCCATGGTTCCAGTCACCACCAACCAAATAAATAATTCATGGGTTGCTGGGGGTTGCTGGGGGTTGCTGGGATGATAATTTCATGATAGTTAGCCAGTGGTATAATGTGGGAAACCCAGGTCGCCATAAACCTACCATGACAGGTCGCCCTAGGTCGCCGCGCCCCGAGATGCAGCCCATCCAGGTGCCACCACTCAGCCTGAAACATGGAGAGCTTGACAGTTGAAATATGTCTTAAGTTATACATCTATTAGAAAAAAATGATATTACAACACATATATAACTATATATAATTATATATATATTAATATATACATATAATTAATAATTTATACAACTGATACTAAATATAAGTTGAAAACAGTTGAACTGCAAGTGTGTGTGTGTGCACATATATATGAGAACAACAAAATACGAGGCATGATCATCTGATCATCTCAACAATACTATGTTAGCTGCTTCCGGAGGAGCTGATTAAAGCACCACGCTCTAACAGTTATTCCTATCGACAAGAGGTGGAGACATCCGCAGATCTGGTATGATACGAATTTCTGGCAAGATCAAACCACAGGTCATGGTGATATACCCTGAACAGTTAAACCACTTTTTTTACATCATCTATCAATAATCTAATCAAGAATCAAGAATCAACAATAATATAATAGTCATAATTGTTCATAATATATCATAATCAACGATTATTGGCGATCATCTTGATGTCTAAAACACACATGAGCATCTGGCAGGTGGCTCCAACCCATCCCATAAACTTCTTTGCACGTCCGTTGGGAATAATAATCCCACTCGGAAGTCGATGGAAGAAATACTAGAGTATTTGAAACTGCACACCAGTCACGGTTGTTACCTAAGAAATATATATATATATATACATATATAATTATATATATAATATTATATAATCATCTAAGTGTCTAATGAAAACCAAATGCCATGAACCATCCCGGAGTAATCACCATTCTTATGGGTCGTTTACCATCCCCAAGTTTGGCAATTAATTAGTTGTTTATGGCATTGGGTTTCCCACATTGAAATCATCATCAATTTTATTCACCCCTTTATTTGGTCTATCACTTGGCCAGTTACAACTTTCGCAGGATGATCAGGATGCACTGCCCGCCATGGCCCCCTGCAGAATCGCTGAGAAGGATCGTCGCCAGTCTGCAGGGGACTGCTCACGAAGCAAAAACCACGGGAACAACTGCGATTATATACGCTTATATAAACACCACATGTGTTTGGTTCTGTGAGGCATCATCAATTGTTTCGATATGTTTTACCCTCTGGTAAACTAACATAGCTATTGAAAATGGCACATTTATAGTTGATTGATTTACCCATTGAAAGTGGTGATTTTCCATAGTTATGTTAGTTTACCAGAGTGTAATGATCATATGTGGTGTTTTTTTCTTCATCCTGGATGCTTATTGCTGGGTATTGCTTTCAGAATCAGGCCACTAATTCACACGAAGCTTCCCTCGATTTCGCCTGCTTCACCCGACCGGTGTAGGTTCCTGCACAGCACCATCCGCAAGTCAAAGCTGTCATCTTTGGTTGATAGTTGGTATATCTTACAATCATAATTTCTTTTATAACTCGATTCGTCCCCAAAGAAACCTGACCACATAGTCTATGCAGGTGCTGACATATTCCAATTGTACCCACTTGATGATTAAAAAAAACATCGATTTTACATGACTTTACAGGGTAATTACTCTGTATTTCTGGACTGGATTTGCTGAAGAAGTTGGACCGCCCGCCTTCGCCCGGAGCGCTCCCGAGAGTCTCGCTCGCCCAGATCCTCTTCCCTGAGTTCGTCAGGCTTCATGACGTGTGTCCAACACATATATTATAAGAAAGTAAGCATAATCATGAATCGATGCTCGCTAAGAACAATCATGATGATGGCGATGCTGTTTTTATTATTATCGTTGTTATAAGGATTTATTATTGTCACTATTATACTATATACTACCACCATTTTTCTTATTATTACCATCATTATTATAAGGAATAAATAGGAATAGTAATGATGGTAGCAACGGTTATGGTATACCCATCGAGTCCTGCCAGCGGCCAAGCCGCGGCCATGGTTTTTTGGGGATGACGCAGACAGGTTCCGCTGAGGACTGCGATTGCTTGGGGCATCCCAGTTCCGCAGCTGCCTAGGTGACTCCTAAGTAGTGACTGATAATGACCCATAAGCCAAACGCTCTTCCCTTTGTAACTGGTGAATATGGATTGTTAGTGAGTATCCATATATGCATAATTGTCATAGCCACTAATGAATATATATTACATATAATTATATAATATACAATGTTAAATATGTATAGTCCATGATGCATATTAATGCATATATTGTGTACCTATCCATGATCAACATATGATGCAGAAGTATCATGTGTCCTATTCCCAGTTAACCATCTATTATGCATAGCTTACAATCATGATTAGGATTAGTTATTTATTGTTATTCTGCAATACACTTGCTAGATACTTATAACTTATAACTAATAGCTGTGAATAGCAGTTAAATTGATTGTTAATGTGGGTAAAACAATCATAAACAATTTATGGTGATTTGGGGCATGGATTACTATTGTTTTTACCCACATTAATATTGATAATGAATAAAATTGATTTAATGTGGAACACCCAATAAAATTCATAATGATTCAGCAATTAATTTACAAATTATTGATGATTAGTTCTTGTGTAGCCACTTGCCGTAACTGCTTCCCGCAGCGTGAATTTTTTTGCCAAGCGACGCTTGAAGGCGTCGCGCCAGTTCTTCATCACTGACTTCGGTCTGGTGACCTGATTCGACAAATAGGGCGCCGTCCAACGAATGGTTTTTGGTGCTTCATCACCCATAGGATCCATGGTGCTGGTATATATGCTAACATTTGGGATATATTGATGGTAAATGTTACCATATATAGCATACATGGATCCTATGGGTCATGAAAAAAATGAACTACTATCGGTTAATGAAGGTTTAAAATAATTTGACCATAGTAGTGGAAAAAAGATCACTACTTCATATCCGTTGCAATGGTTTATGTGTAATCTTATAAATGTTTAATTACTATTATAAATGTGTATTTATAATGAATTAACCGTTACCAAAAATGGTGAATGATGGTCAATATGATACAGGAAAATACTGGTTAAATCTCCTTAACTTAGCCATGGAACACTGTCCATTTATGGATCACTCAAGTATCAAGGATTGTGATTTTCCCATACCTATGTTAAACCACCAAAATCACCTCCTAAAGTGAAGGGTTAACCATCAAAAGGTGGTTCAATATTGGTTCAATATGATTTAACCGTCCTGATGTAGGGATAATGGGGATACATAGCGAGTATTAAATGCCCCCATCATCAGTTGGAACCCCAATTCATGAATGGATCCACAATAGTTTCAAAACATACAAAAGAGGTATGAAATCAAGTTATAGGAAGGATTCTCAAACACTCTATGTTGGTGGTTAAATGGACTATTTAGCCACCAAACATGTTATGAAAAAACGTCAAACTGCGAAACATAGGATTACATGTGTCGCCAAAGTGGATTGGAGATGTTTGGAGGGCCACAGTTCATGATGAGAGTTTGACCAAAACCTCCAAGAATTTTACGGAACGGTCACTGACCATCCGCAGATGTCAAGGCACTCTCAGTAATCGGACTCTGCTCCTGCCTGGGCAGATGAGGCGGTTGGTTCTCAGAAAACATGATGATTTCACAATATTTCTTCAACAATTGAACCACAAAAATGAAATGTACAGTAGCCAAACATGGAAACATGAACACAAACAATCAGAACCCAAACGGTGGGGAAGAAAACACTGCATGCACATTAGGAAGACAGAGTCTTTACGCCGTCCGGCTACATTTGAGCCACTTGACAAGCATATGATTTCTGCTGGAACAAACTTTAGATTTGCCTCGTTTGTGCAACAAGAGTTGCAGTTGCAGTTCGAATTTCTTACATGAACATGTAGTCATGTAGAGGTCCTTAACATAGAAAGGGTTTGAACAGGACATGTTTCCGTGTACAGTTCAGTGAAGTCCATTTGTCTGCCAGTTCTGGGATCCTAATGGTCCTAATGCCGCAGCAATCGATTGATTGATCGAATTTACCGTCCTGTATACATGTATACCCATAGGATCCATGGTGCTGTTATATATGCTAACATTTATATATTGATGGTAAATGTTACCGTATATAGCATACATGGATCCTATGGGACATATTATATATAATCCAATCTGATAACGGAGGGTTCTCTTCCTGAAAGGTTCCTCTTGTAGAAACCACTTATGGATTCTCAAACAAAGGGTACCCCCCCCCTCAGTGGTCACATGATTTGATGGTCTACCTTAGGAGCTAAAAACCAATGTCGACAAGAACACCAAATGTCTACCGTGTTTTCAATGTTTTGGTTCTTTGATGTTTGTATATTGAATCTTAATGAACCCCTACTCTCATTATATATATATATATATCATTATATATCACCGTCTGACCCCTACTCTCATGTCTGTTTAGTTGGTCATCATTTTGCAATCAAAATACTGGTAGCCATAATTGGATATAATTGGACAATCCTCCACCGGAAAGGAAACACCCATAGTTGATGAATTTGATATACAATCATTATTCCTTTCATCCAACGATTGACCAACCTTGCTGATTTATATCGATTGAATTGAATGCAAACTTTCATTGTTTAGATCCTTATTCTTCATGGTTGAATTATGTTAAAGTGTTAAATTGCCAAGTGTAATCAGTGTAATCGTTTATGTTCTATGATATTCCTGCATCTCTGGACAGCTGGCAGCAATTCCAACATCTTCAGGTCTCCGCACAGCAAACGAGCAAGGCGCTCATCGCTTAGCACCTGGAGCTGCTTTTTTTGCTGTGTCACTTCGGGGAAATTCACCTCTTGAGGACAGGACAAGAGCGCAATTGAGGTGTCAGTGAAGGAGGAAGTAAGACTCAGATAGACTGAGTCAGAAGGGAAGGAGGGAAGATTTTTCGCAGAAGGGGAGACACAGCAATTTTCCAATGACAGATGAACAACAAGATTCAAGAAGCTGTGTGGGCATGTCTCTACTGTCAGCAGCTCACAAAAAAAGGTGCATCTTGTTGGAATGAGTCCATATCTATTGTAGGAGATCATGGGAGATGATGGGCACGTGGCAGGAACATCCCGTTGCCATAATTCATCAACGATGTGAACAGCAGGATATCACCAGGGTTTTGATTTATTACATTACCAGTACCCATAGGATCCATGTATGCTATATATGGTAACATGGATCCCATCAATATACCCCAAATGTTGGCATATATACCAGCACCATGGATCCTATGGGGTATAGTCTTCAAAAACGTTGATTGCAAAACTGACCGAACTCTGGTGCAAAACTGATTTTTGTTGCGTCTTTTTGCAAGTTCAAAAAGTCTGTCCCCACATTGACGTGTCCCCGCCACACCCTATGCCGTGCGGTGCCTGATGCGGAAAACCTGTCGCGCTGATCTTGAAAATGATTGGTGGATTATGCAAATTCAAACAACCCGATTGATGATGGTGCACACTATATACTTTCGAAAATGTATACCTGTAAATCCTTTGAATACAGTTGAGCCACCGATTCACGAGCTCAGTCTACAAAAATAGTTCTGTATCTAGTTCAGTTTGTTCAGTTTGTTCAGTTTATGGTCACCGACGTTTTTCAGCAGTTCAAATTTAAAGCAATGCCAAACAACTCAGATTTTTTCGCGTTTTGCGTGGGCACCTGATCCGTTTCACGGATAGAAACGATGATGGACCCCATGGTCATTGATGGTCATTGGGTATGGGACCAAATTGGGTAATCCCCAAAAACTGGAGCATGGTCAACAGCTGTGGTTCCTAATTTTCCCATGACCTTCATAATTTGACCCATACCCAATGACTCTGAAAGCTCTCACTTCGTTGTAGCGAGAAGGCTTCCGAGGCAGTCGACATCGGTGGTCTTCAAGGAATGAGTTCCCGTCCGATTCGGGGTTTTTTAATATGGATACATGATGCACAATTGATGGCCAAGAGCCTCATTTTTTTTTGCAGATCACATCTATTCACATCTATTCAGTAATAGTTGTATATAAAATGTTATAGAGTATAGAATATTGTTTCGTCAATTTTTTCACCCCAAATTTGCAACATCAATAGCGGGAGCCCACATTCCTTGAAGCAACAAACGCTTGCCTTCGAGAGTCTGGCCGTCATGATTAACTCGTTGGGCCAATTTCACCATCGTCTGGTAGTGTTTTCAGAAGCCAAAAAAACCCTCTGGTAATGACTAACATAGCTATGGAAAATGGATCAACATGGTGATTTACCGATTTACAATGGTGATTTTCAATAGCTTTATGTTAAATTGCCAGAAGATAAATCTAAAATTCCATAAACTTCGTGTGTTAGTGCAGCGAGAACCTCAGGTTTCGCTTTTTGGATCTTTTCAGGCCCAGTCTGATGGAGTTTCGCTTTGGAAAGCTGTGACTCCCATTGGGGGCTTTGAAAAATGGGGCATGTAACATGGCTGAGAATCCTGAAATGCTCTTTTTCTATCCTGGTGGTTGAGCCATGTTGAGCCTATCCCTCTGAAAAATGATGGAGTTCGTCAAATGGGATGATGACATTCCATTCCCAATATATCATGGAAAATGAAAAATGTTTGAAACCACCAAGCAGTTTCTATCTTTTTCTCACCTTTCCTGCCGAGAAAAAAATCACATCAAACCTTTCCTGCCGAGTCGCGGTGTGACAAAGGCAGCAGCAAGGACAACTGGGATGCAGTGAGGTCACTAGAATTCATCCATATCCCCTGTATAACTTCCCATTAAAAACATTTAAAAACCGCCCTTTTGGCTGACTAAATCATGTGAAATCCCCCATTTTTGTTGGTTGAATCAACGACCATTTTTCTTTGAATCATCATGAAACAAAATAAATCATGGCTTTCTGTGTCAGACTCGCGTGCTTTGAATCCTCCACTTCCAACTTCCAGGGCCGGGTCGGAATCTGGTGTCCGGTCAAGCCTTCAAAAGATCCTCCGATTCCACTGGAGGACCCAAAGTTTTGCACGTCTGATAGATGCACATGTCGTTTATCTTTCCAGGTTTTCAAAGGGATTTTGTCAAACATCGTTTCTACATGTGCGAACATGCATGGATGCATGCCTGCCTGCCTGTCTGTCTGTATAGGTAGGTAGGTAGATAGGTAGGCAGGCAGATAGGTAGGGAGGGAGGTATAGGTAGGTAGGTAAGGTAAGGTAAGGTAAGGCAAGGTAAGGCAAGGTAAGGTCGGTGAGTAGGTATATAATATACGTACAATATCGTACGATTGTGTACGTCTGTTCAATAGTTTCAAAAACCAAAATTCTGCTGAAAGGGAACATACGTGCATTGAATAGGATACTTCATACGACCTATATTGCAAGTAAGGCATGACTTTCATATGAGACACGACCACATTTGCAGGTATAAAAGCACAGAGCAGTATGCGTTGCACCAGAATCTGTTCGTGACTGAATCGATGTAAGACAGTCTTTAGTGTGTGGCACATATACCTAGTGCATTCTATGGCCACATTCATGAGCGTTGGCTAGTAGATCTAGGAAGTGAGTACCCTCTGGTGAACTAACATAGCAATGGAAAATCACAATTTTTCATGGGAAAATCCACTATAAATGGCCATTTTCCATAGCTACGTTAAATTACCAGAGGGCAAGTGAGTTTTACCTTGATTGTTTGTTTCCCCAGTTTCATCGCGGAATCATTGTGTAGCAGTGAAATCATGTGAAACCTCTTTCAGCCCGGCGCTTGTCGCCGATGCTGAGAGGGTGACATGGCACGCACATTTTGCACTTCCCGAGTCACTGCTCATTCACCTGCCAAGCACTTGAACTCTTTACATGCGCAACTCTCAAGTATCAACTCACTTACCTGAACTTGATACGTGCATCCAATATGCACACGTTGGGGTAGGATTCACAATTCAATGGTCAACCAAAATCCCTTGGACTACAAAAAGATAGCGGAAATCAATGGGTCACAAAAGAGCATCATGTCAACGTGGGAAATTGGTTTCAACCTCTTTAGGGTGGAACATAGGCTAACCAGGTGTCCCCCGTGTCCCCGCCATCTGCAGCGTTCACCGGTTCCGGCGGAAGACACTGCCTGAGTCAGGCGTCGCTTCGCCGCCCCAATTGGGATGGTCAAGCCCGACAAAAACTGACCTTTCTGCAGAGGTACCCTCTGGTGAACGTTTACATACCTATGGAAAATCACCATTTTTAATGGGTAGATCAACTATTTTCAATAGCAAACTGTTTGTTTACCAGAGGGTATATAGAATAGATGTGGAATTGATTGAATTGTAACTACTCCCATGGGCTGGAGTATCAGTTCAGGAAACAAAGCAAGTGAGCATCAATGATCATCAGTTATCCACAAAAAATACACACTGGTTGGTGGTATACCTACCCCTCTGAAAAATATGAAAGTCACTTGAGATTATTAGTCCCAATATATAGAAAAATAAAAAATGTTCCAAACCACCAATGAGCACACTTCTTCAGCCATATTTACCCTCTGGTAATTTAACGTAGCTATTGAAAATGGCCATTTATAGTGGAATTTTCCATTAAACATGGTGATTTTCCATAGTTATGTTAGTTTACCAGTGGGTAGACATGATAGAATCCCAAAAAATGAAGTTTCCTCCCACAAAATCCAGAACGGTCTCTACCCAACTCACCGGGACCAACCATCTTCAAACAAATTTGAGAATTAAGAAACACACATGAAATAGTTATGAATCGCAGCAAACCAACAAAGATACTCACAAAATGCCAAGAAAAAACTTCAGAAGTCAAGACATGCAAGAACAGAATTCAAAGTTATTGAACATCATATTAAAACATATTAAAACAACAAAAAAAAACAGAATTGCTACACTTCAGCTGCCAGGTTGCAGAAGAAGCCGTTCTGCTTTACCACCTCGGGACCCTGACCTGGCAAAAAGATGGTGGGCATCCACTGCCCGGAGGGGTAGTCAAACATGCTGGGCCGCTGGTTAGCTGGAAAATCCACCAATTTATAAATGATGTGTCCATTTGAACTTCCATTTATAGGGGATTTTCAATTGCTACGTATTGTTACCTTTGATTACCACAGGGTAACGGGCATGATCATCCCAAATATGTTTGAAACATGTTGTGAAGCGATTTCGAAATTTGAAACCAGCAATCAGAAATCAGATTTTATGTGGATTTAGAATGAATTACTGGTTGGTGGTTTCAACCTACCCCTCTGAAAAATGATGGAGTTCGTCAGTTGGGATTATTCTTCCCAATATGAAGGGAAAGTCATTAAAAAAAAAAAACGTGGTTCCAGTCACCACCAACCAGATCATCATCATATTCCCATTGTTGTTGGTATTATACCCTATTAACCACTATTAATATCACGGTTCCAAACCACCGACCAGATTCCAATCATGATGAAATCCATTGAAATCCAGCATCCCTGGATCGTTCTCATCGTGCCACCTTTGGAGAAGGGATGCTCAAAGAGCTCGAACTGTTCCTGGCGGCATCCCGGGGGAAGACCCCGGAAACCGAAAGAGCGCGAAAAAAAAATCTGAACACAAAGCGGAAAGGATTTTTTTTGTACATCCAGTTTCCAGATAAGTCTGATATATCACTGATAAGTATTGATAAGTTATAGAGTTATAGATTATTTCATAGATTTGTTCATAGATATTACAGTAATCTCATATAATCTCTGTAACTTGGGTTGTGGATGCGGTCACAGCTGGTGCCACGTCGTGCCTTTGAGTAGCCGTGAGGTCGTTTTTGATCCGTGGGCGGCCTGGCGCGGACCGGGAAACCGAGCCTTGAGGGACCTTCGGATCTCTACGGGGAGATGTCCCACGAAGAAAAACGTTAAAGACTTCTCAGATATATCACATATAATATATATATATAGCATCTATATATATATTTATATATATATATATATATAGCATGTGTATATATATATATATATATACCAATCTGTTGCCAAAAAAAAGTTTGAAGACTCAAGTTGCCTGCGTTATGGTTTTTCTTTCCACCACATCAACCATCTACCGCATCAGCCAGACCATCTGCAGGCACCTCCAAGGTCCGGGTGTATAGGGAGGTTCCAATTCACGCCCCAAGAGCTTGTCGAACATACTCGAGGGGCCTGACGCACAGATACGCAGCGGCTGAGATGCGCTGAGTTCTGTTCGGAGTGGCTGTAAGGAAACCATAGGAAACCCATAGGTTCAAATTATGCTATGATAGTGTAGTAACATCTATAAACCAGGTTTAAACCAGGGTAAACATCTATAAACCGCCAGTGAAGGCTTGTTTATGCCACCCATCTTTTTGTGGGGTATGCTACCCACAAATGGGGTTCCCGCAGCTGGAACCAGCCTGGAATCTCGAAGAAGGGATGCTTGAAAACGTCCTTCCCAAAAAAAAACGACGGCAAGGGTCACCGGTTCACTTTCGGAGCAAATTCTGCAAGGTGGTACCCTCTGGTAAACATACAAAAAGCTATGGAAAATGGGTGATTTATAGTTGATTTACCGCCCATGAAAAATGGTGATTTTCCATAATTAGTTATGTTAGTTTACCAATGAAAAAATGTGATTTTCCATAGTTATGTTAGTTTACCAGAGGGTATATGGAGGTTTCCATTTTTTCACGGGGGTACCCCCAAAAATCAACCAGTCGTTATTTCATGATCATAACTTCGTATTGAAACAACCATGGTGACGACATGGGGATCCTCCATGACTCAAGAAACCCCCATGAGCAGTGCCTGAAGACCGTTCACACCAGCGCCGAGCCGCTTTAGCACCTGAGCATCCACTTTGCCCAAGTTTTGGCCACAACCACTAAAAGTCTGGGGAAGAAAATAATTTAACATAGCTATGGAAAATCACCATTTTTTTATGGGAAAATCCACTATAAATGGTCATGTTCAATAGCTATGTTAAATTACCAGAGGGTAAATTGAGTGGTACTCTTCTAATCCAAAACTCAAAACCTCGGGTCCACTGAATTTTTTTGCGTCAGTTTTTTCAGTCGCCATAAAGACATACCTTGTCTTCTTTTCTTTTTAACGGTTAGCCCATCTAACTGTGTTCAGCTCAACCCATCTTCAGCTCAGCACCGGCTGTGTCAAAAGGCCTTTGATGAGGTCGCGGCCAATCTCGTCCTGGCGGCAGTTTTGGGGCGTTCAGCCACTGGGGTGGAACATGGAAAAAAAAGAGCACCAAAAATATCCCAAAATTGGATTTCAGAAAGGGAAAGTAGGGGAAGTATGGAAATTGTGGAGCTAGTCTTTGTGGAATATTGCGGACATAAAAAACAGCAACCATGGCATACCAGGCATACCAGGGCTTAACCGGCAGTGATCGAATGCGACATACAACAAGGATACGGGGCTGGAAAGGTTGCAACTCCGAAGTGGAAATACAAACAGCAATAAACCATTTGTTGGTTGTTGAGAAACCCTCGCCAAAAAAGTCCAGTTAAAAACAAACAACATGGGGAGTCACCAACTTACCAGCACAAAAAATATTGGCTGATGGGACGAATGGATACGAATGGGACAATGTGTGCAAGTGCTCTCCAGGAAAGATAGGCAAGCACTGCTTGTGGAAATTATGTGATTGGGTGACACAGTGACATGTCCAGGAAGTACTGAAAGAAGAAATCTCTAAGCATTTTTGGTGGATTGAGGAACCACACTTTTGAAGAGAGCAACACCATTGTTTTTTTGGGGAACCAACGTTGGGAAGGAAGGATAGCCTTCCCAGCCCCGGTGACCCAAACAACCTTGAGCAGGACAGCATCACTGTTAGGTTTCGGGTGGAAATATCTACTGTTGAGTGGTGAAATGTCCCATTAAAACACGACCCAAATGGGGGAATCACGAATCGCTTCTTAAGGTGATGTTCCGCAATGACAATCCCCAAAAACTGGACCCAAATGATTTGGCCCAAGTGTATCAAAATCTCCACATATTCACCACACCCGTATACATCATATAGCTGGATGTGGTGTGTCTAAGAATGCGGCATACCCCCAAACCAACCATTTTAATGGGAAAATGATGATTACCCTCTGGTAAACAACATAGCTATGGAAAGTGCCCATTTTTCATAGGTAAATCAACGAACTAAATGGGCAATTTTCAATAGCAAACTGTTAGTCATTACCAGAGGGTAAGCCTTGGATTCCGGGGTATTTTCAGACAAACCCATGCCGTCCTTGTAGGCAGATGGGAATTTCAGCTTCCCTCGCAACACGGCGGAGCACACTTGTCGCGGCTCGACCAAGTTGGTGCCAAAGGGTAAGTAACCGCAGACCTGGGGTGCGGGGCCTGGGTCCATGGCCCTGTTTTGACCTTCAAGGAATCTGGAGATTGCGAATGCTGCCTTAGTATGTATATATATATATATATTAGTATTATATATATTATTATATATATATACTATATTATATATATATGTACAAATATGTGTATGTATATATATATATATATATCATATATATATATATATCATATATATATATAAACTATATATTGGCTTATTATTCTGTGAAATATCTCCATGACTTCAGCACTTCGAAGGAAAAACATGTCACGGATGTCATGGTCTGGAAATGTTGGACACCGATGCCAGCTGCAATGCCTGAGGGCCCCAGCAAATTCAAAGAGCATGATGCCCAGGGACCACAAATCCACTTCGACCCCGTAGCCTTTGCCCTGAAAGACCTCGACTTAGTCGACTTCAACGGGAACTGCTTGGTGGTTTCAACCTACCCCTCTGAAAAATCATGGAGTTCGTCAGCTGGGATTATGACATTTCCAACTGAATGGAAAGTCATTCAAAATTCCATGGTTCCAGTCACCACCAACCAGGGATTTCTGGATGATCTGGTCCTATCGGTGCACCTCCGGAGCCATGTAGTGGGGTGTGCCGACCACAGTGTAGGTACGACTTTCCAACTCGCCCAGTTTCTTGGAAACCTGAGGGGCGCATGGTCGGCACCAGAAATATCAGAAAGTGGGGTGACTTGGGAATTGTTTTTAGCAAAAGGCCCTGAATTTTGAAGGTGTCACTTGAAAATTGACATACTGTCTATTAAAAATGTCACAAAATGGGGGCCGGGCCCCTCCAGTTTATGGCGATTTTGATGGAACATGATGATCGACATCGGATTTGGGAGCATGGAGGAGCCCAGTTAGTTCAAGTCACGCCATTGGAAGTACAACCATAAAGTCATTGCAGAAGGACCCGGGGCAGCAAAACCCCATAGCACACCGTGCGACTAAGGCAGTCATTAAATTGTGCCTTTCGGCGAGGCACACCGCGTTTTGACAAAAAGGTAAGTGCGTGCTCTGGAAGGAGCATTTCGGATAATTTCGTACTGGCACACCGTGAGTCGAAAGGGTCAGCAAGCAAGAAAACAAGCAGGCAGACAGACAAGCAAGCAGACAAGCAAGCAGACAAGCACGCAGACAAGCAAACAGGCCGAGCCAAGCACACACATACAATCCGTCGGGCAAGCGGCAAGCACGCAGGCAAGTCAGGATGCAAGGAGGGTCAGCAGGCAAGCCAGCAAGCAGGCAGAAGTAAGCAAGCAAGCGAGCAAGCAAGCAAGCCAGCCAGCCAGCCAGCAAGCAAGCAAGCAAGCAATCAGGAGCTGACAGCAGCACTGGCAGCTACTATAGCAAACCAGCGAATCAGACAACCAAGCCAGCAGCAGTAAACCAGCAAACAAAATTGTCAAACACCATGCCACAAAGACAAAATTGTCAAAACGCAACAACTTTGAGACTTGGTAGTATGGGTGGTTGATATGATCCTTGAAGCCTTCAGGTTGTAAAGAACTGTCGCTTGACTGAGATCAGCAAAGAATGCAGGGAAAGGTCAACATGCCAAAGAAACAGGTTGGACAGCCCATTCAGCTTGGGTGCTGGGTGTTCACAACATATCATGTCAGACATACGAGTATCGAATTGAAATCATGAACATTAATAATCCCATCCCCCATCCCCCGTTCATATTGTTAAACACCCCCCACTTATCCCCCACTTACGGCCACGGTAGGTGATTTAATTACTATATATATATATATTTCGGCCCATTTCGGTGGTGTTTCATACTAGGGCTAGGGGATTAGGATGGATTAGGACTGTGACTGGATTTCGCAGCCATGTTCCACTGGGTCGCTTCCTGGGTGGTCACTGGGCGACCCAAACTCCAAAGTCGATGATCTTCACATAGCCCTGCCACGTCAGCTGAGATCCACCATGAAGATCCATGGAGTAGCTGGCGAGTATCAGGCTATGCAACATCAATTCCTGTGAAGTCATACTGACAAATGGCAAGTTGTGTCATGAGGAAAAAAAACCATGTCTACCTTTCAACTCATGGCCTCCTGGTCAAGCATCACATTCTCCGGCTTCAAGTCCCTGTAGACCACCTGTGGGCTTTGCATACCAAATCCAGATGAACAACTCCTCAGGTTTGGTTCTTAAAAAGAAGGTTTTAATCGTTGTATATTTCTTCCTAATATAAACCGGTTTAAGTTTTAATTCACCCACCAACCCCATTCGCCAAAAGTGAGAGCTTCCTCAAAATAAACATGGAACATCATGGAACATACTGCCAAACGATGGTTGGTGTAAAAATGACACTATTCCCACTGGAATTCTGATGGAATTGACCCTCTGGTCATTAACAAATGGCTGTGGAACTTGACCCATTAACAAATGGTATATATATATAATCTGATTGGTGGTTTCAACTCCTCTGAAAAATATGAAAGTCAATGGGAATGATTATCCCATATATTGTGGAAAATAAAAAATGTTCCAAACCACCAACCAGTAATTCAAAGAATATTCTAACATATTCTAAAGAAATACACAAAAAATACCCCCCATTTTAAAAATACACAAAAACAACATGGTGTTTTTCCATGTTGAACTACCAAAGGGTTTTGTCCACGTTCTGCTCCTTGCCCTGAGCATCCTGAGCATCTCAGCATCCCCACGTTGCGGTCCCAAAGGGCTTCGACGGCAATGAGAATCGAGGCGGTGTAGAAGCGAGCCGCCTGACGGGTCGACGTGAAAATGGAGGGGCCGGGGGAGCATCTTGGGTCATTAGTATGATCTACATCCATATATTATCCATAAAATCATCACATATCCATATATTATCATATATTATCCATAAAATCCCATAGTCATTAGTATGATCTACATCCATAAAATCATCCATATTCACATATTATCCCCATCACCAGATGATCCACAATCATCACAATCATTCATTTTATCATTCATTTTATCCATTTTATATCATTTTATGATCATATCACTATCCATATCATCCACTTTATGATCCATATCACCATCGTTCACCATCCATATGGAAGTTTCCATGACTTATCATGGGGCTACTCCCAGTATCCAGTCCTCATGGATGACCATGACTTAGTATAGGGGTGACGTGGGGATCGTCAGGATCGTCCATGACCCAAGGGCTGGAGCATGCTGGAGCGACTGCATGAGGCTGAGAATGGCAGAAGACATGCAGTATTATCATAGTTTTATCTCATCTTTTCATCTCATTCATCTTCAGGTGCATGAAAACCTTATCCCGGCAAAGCCTCTGGATGTCTAAGTCAGTTTCGGAGGAATTGCAACTCACAAGAAGCACTTCCGTTTCTCCCTCTGCTCACTGCAGTTGGTGGGATTGGGTAAATGGGACCTGAGCAGAGCAACACGATGTACAGATTCAAAAGCCTGCTCCGTAAGTAAAATCGAAAAGTAGAGAAGCCGGTCGAGCCTTCCTTCTCTGAAGAATAGGTATGCTCTTGGTCAGTCTGCTAAGTGTTAGCAGAACATGCTAACAACAGAATGATCAAGAGGCAACGGCAACGAGGTTAGTTCTTCAATTTTGCCCAAGATGTTGAAGCATTCATTCTACAACCTTTTCACTCAAACAGCAAGACTTTGGAAGATTGAAAAAACCTCGTTCAAAGTGAAAACTCACCGACTCCCTTCACGAGAATCGGCTGGCGGAAGATTTGGAGAAACCTGGCACAGCAGTCCGGTAAAAGAGGATCAGTGCCAAAGGTATGTCATGTCATGGTGTCTGCACTGTGGTAAACTAACATAACTATGGAAAATCACAATTTTTAATGGGAAATTCCACTATTTCTATGGTCATTTTCAATAGCTTTTTGTATGTTTACCAGAGGGTACATCGGTTGTCCAATATTGGGGGTTACCCCTGAAATCCAGTGGTTGAATGGGGTTTGAAAACATCTTCTTCCCCCGCCAAGGGGTTGAACCCTGCCTAGCTCCTTGCGGAAAACGACCTGAACAGCGCAGGGCAATTTTTTATATGATCCAAGGACTGCAAACAACCAGTTGATACATGATATAATTGATATAATATCAATTGATATAATATATACATATAATGTAATTATGGCGTAATATATATGTAATTATGGCACAAACATGGGGTTTCCCCTTTAAACCCGCAAAATTCGTGATATTCTTTGCTGAGATCCGGAACGAGGCCAATTGTCAGACGAATCCTCCAGGTCATATGTTCATTTAGAGCTGGACACTTTTTATTCTGGTTGGTTAATATACCTGGTTAATCACGAAAGGTAGCTCCAGAGGGGCTACCTTGAGTTTTACTTTACGAAGTAAAGGGGAGGGCGGCCAGCCCCGTTACCTGATTCTTCAGGAGATTGCTAGTTATTTTAGTACCCCCCTCCCCCCCCCCTCCACACCTCCCACGCACCCTAAGAGCAGACTCAAAATACTGTAATTTACAGTATTTTTGTTCTTTTCGGATCAAGAAACCACATTTTGTTACATGGTGAAACCTCCGTAAATACCAGTGTTTTTGCTAGGTGCTGGCCAAAAAACACTGTAAATACCGTGCTTTTTACTACCAGAGGCAAAAAACATCGTAAATCCTGTGGTTTTGGGCTTCCGACCCGCCAAAAACATCGGTATTTACGGTGTTTTTTGCTCCGAGAGTTGCAAAAACACGCGAAAACACCACCGATTTGACGATTTTCGGCCACTACGGAACCGAGCAAAAACGCTGCAGGGGTAACACCAACACAAACAACCACAACACCAACAGCAACAGCAACAACAACAACGACAACAACAACAACACCAACACACAACGCACAAGGCACAAGGCACAACGCACAATGCACAATGCACAACGCACAACGCACAACGCACAACACACAACACACAAAACACACAACACACACACAACACACACAACACACACAACACACACAACAACACACAACAACACACAACAACACACAACAACACACAACAACACACACACACACAACCACACACAACCACACACACACAACAACACACAACAACACACAACAACACACAACAACACACAACAACACACGCAACACACAACAACGCAACAACGCAACAACAACACACAACAACACACAACAACACACAACAACACACACAAAACAACACACAACAACACACAACAACACACCACAACACACCACAACACACACAACAACACACAACAACACACAACAACACACAACAACACACAACAACACACCACAACACACCACAACCCACCACAACACACCACAACACACAACAACACACAACAACACACAACAACACACAACAACACACAACAACACACAACAACACACAACAACACACAACAACACAACAACAACACACAACAACCCACAACAACACACAACAACACACAACAACACACAACAACACACAACAACACACAACAACACACAACAACACACAACAACACACAACAACACACAACAACACACAACAACACACAACAGCACACAACAGCACACAACAGCACACAACAGCACACAACAGCACACAACAGCACACAACAGCACACAACAGCACACAACAGCACACAACAGCACACAAAACACAACACACAGCACACACAACACAACACACACAACACACAACAACACAACAACACAACAACACAACAACAACAACAACAACAACAACAACAACAACAACAACAACAACAACAACACAACAACAACAACAACAACAACAACAACAACAACAACAACAACAACAACAACACACAACAACAACAACAACAACAACACAACAACAACAACAACAACAACACAGCAACAACACACAACAACACACAACAACAGCACAACAACAGCACAACAACAACAACAAAAACACGAACACGAACAATACCAACACCAACAACACGACCAACAACACGACCACAACAACACCACCAACAAACCCAACACACCAACTAACAACACTAACAACACCAGAAACACTACCACCACCAACAACACCAACACCACCAGCACCACCAACACCACAACCACCACCAACCCCAACCACATCGCCGAAGCCTTTCAGTCGCTTTTAGCAGACTCCCCTTCATATTTTTGGAAAGAAAATGGCCGCGTCGCTTTTACCAGACTCCACTTTATGTATTTTTCCCTCCCCTCTCCCCTTCATTTTTTCTTCGGTTCCTTTCTTGCTTACCTACCTTTCGTGTTCCCCCTCTCAAGTATTAATGGTTAATATTAATGGTTTATATTAATGGTTAATATATGGTTAATATATGGTTAATATTGTATCTGGTTAATAATGGTTAATATATGGATATTATATGGCATATGGTTAATGATGGCTAATAATAATCTGGTTGGTGGTTGAGCCCTACCCCTCTGAAAAATGATGGAGTGAAAGTCAGTTGGGATGATGAACAAATCCCAACTGAATGGAAAAAATAAATTTCATGTTCCAAACCACCAACCAGCATTGCTAAGACTTGTGATTTCGTTACCCTGCTGGATTAGCCACTCAGAGTTTTCGGAAAGTTCTGTGGAAGTTTGGACTCTCGGTTGTCTGGATATGGATGGGATGTTGCATATAATTCTCCTGGTAACAATTCATCCCTCTGGCAGACTCTGGCATGCTGGTGCTTGCCAACTACCATTGAACAACAGTTCCTGCCTCTCAGATGGATAAATTGAGCCATGAAAATTATGCCCATCACATCTCATCATACAGCTTGGTCAATAGGTATCCCGTGAATGATGGGCGCTCACAATCCGTATAATTAATCATAAATTCCAATCACCAATTTTCGTCAACGATAAATAAAAATCTAACCTCCTATATCTCATAACACATCAACAGTAATAATGGTATATTATATAATGGATTAATGGTATATAATGGTAGTACCCTCTGGTTATTTAACATAGCCATGGAAGCCATGGCCCATAGAAATAGATGTTTTACCTATTAAACATGGGTGGATTTTAACCATGGCGAACTGTTAGTCATAACCAGATGGTAATGGTGTATCGAAGTATAAGCCCTAAAATAAGCCGCATTTTGGACATCTTGGGACCCCCAGGTCTCTATCTCCGGCCTCACTTCACTTGCCTCACAACTTGGCCGCGGGCTCCAAGCCCTGGTAGGTTCTCCTAAGAAGTGACGTCGTTTGGGCACAGATTTCGTGATCTGGAAAATCTTGGGAACTGTTGGAAGAGGTGGAACATGATTTGGGAAATATTGGGAGATCCATGAAGCAACCGATACAAACTGTGGATGTTTTCTTATCTTGAAAATGTGGCTGGAAAAAAACAACTTCTTATATAGTCAGCAAGACAAGGCAAACATGGAAAGATCATGCGTGTTTGTCAGTAAATCTGACACACAGTATGATTCACTATTGGCTTGTGTATAGTATATCAGCAATCAAACTGGACAGTAGTTGTGTAAGAAAAGCATTGCAGGCGATGATAGACAAGACTGTGCAAACACCGAGACTAAAGAAGCATGCGAGTATTGCCAATAGTTATAGATTGATGATGGACTTGGTACCGTCCCTGCTTCAGCCACAAAACAAATCCAGCGTTTGAGGGGCCGAATTCAAGGACTAGCTGCCCAGTGTACATGGACATCTGAAGAAACTTCGTCATCCACCATGATTTGCGGATCAAACTCCTGATATCCTGGTGAAGTTTCCAGAAACAGCTGGTAAATGGTCATGTGAATGGATGTAAATTGATCTTCTTAGCTTCAACTATCCCATAGGATCCATGGTGCTGCTATATATGGTGTGCCATGGATCCCATCAATCTACCCCAGTCATGTTAGCATATATACCAGCACCATGGATCCGTCATGGGTATGCAAACTCAAATATTCTCAAGTCCACTTGATATTAGGGGATCAACACTGATAAAATCCCAGGATTCTTTGGTCAACATCCATAATTCATCTACTTAGCCTCAACTATGGCCACTATGTGAATTGATCTGGAAATCTCAACGAGCGTCTGTGTGAGGAAGTCGGTGGGGAGGGGCACGATGTGATCGGCCAAGTTGGTGATGATCACCTCAATGATCCCAAGAAACGTCCCATGTCCCAACTGGGTGGAACAGCATACCAGAATTT